TAGTGCTACTTATTGCTGGCACTAAAACGGATATCTGGTTTTAATTTTTGTTTTTAGCGTTGGCGGCACCTGTTACTATTTGGGAAATAGCTGCTCACTACCATTAGTGGAAAGTAATCATAGCGGAGCACTAAAAAAAAGTAATAAGTTATAAATCAGCCCTGACCTTGTGTCATGAGAAGTTTACGGCTTGTTACCAATCTTGTTCCTTTTATTTGGTCCTATATGGAAAATGCATGTGAAAGGGACATTCCAGGCACCCAGACCACTTCTGCCCATTGGAGTGGTCTGGGTGCCAACTCCCATCACCCTTAACCCTGCAACTGTAATTATTGCAGTTTTTTTATAAACTGCAATAATTACATTGCAGGGTTAACTCCTCCTCTATTGGCTGCCACTAGAGGGCACTTCCTGATTCATAGCAAAGATTTTCTTTGCTAGAGCGTCGCTGGACGTCCTCACGCTGTGTGAGGACCTCCAGCGTTGCTAAAATCCCCATAGGAAAGCATTGAAAATCTTTTTCAATGGTTTCCTATGGGGAGACCTAATGCGCGTGCTCATTAGGTTTCCTCAGCCGGCGTGCGGGATCAATCTCGCCCACCGGCTGACGCGATTACTGGGAGGAGCGACGCCGACCGGAAACCACCGCCGAGGGACATCGGCGGGGTCTCAGGTAAGTGAGCTGAAGGGGTTTTCAACCCTTCAGCTACGTGGGAGGGAGAGGGTACCTGCAGTGCCAGGAAAATGGATTGTTTTCCTGGCACTGGAGTTTTCCTTTAACCCCTTAAGGACACAACTTCTGGAATAACATGGAATCATGACGGAATTTTTTCGTCATGTGTCCTTAAGGGGTTAAGTACACGACATAACATGGAAACTCTAAAGCACATAGCGGTGCATACAGAATCTTGGTTTTTAATTTTTTTTACACCATAAGTAGAGGGCAATTTATAATTTAATAAATTACAATATCCCTGTTTAATACATTGTATACACCATCACTATTTCCTGCTGGGGCCAATAACCGTGTTAAGTACATATGTTTAGGGGGAGTAGTCTTTACCGGTGTTCTATCAAATTTTCCTACCCAGTAAAAATTCCCTACAGTTATCACTTCCAGTGACGACGATGCACAGAGAGGCCAAATCAGCTGGAGACTTACCAGTATGGGGCGCATGCGCAGTTACACCATCAGAACATTACCGCACCCTGCCTGACTCTGTGTGTGCCACTGAGACCCCTCTCCGAGCCGATCTCCAGCTGATTTGGCCTCAGGTCCGGTGCGGCCGCATCACCGGAATGACGAGGGTAGGACAATTTTACCGGCATGGTGTGGTTGCTATGGTGACAGCTTAGTGTGTCCTGTGCTTTACCAGTGAGTGGCTACTCTGTATCTCCGTGAGCAAACAACTCAGTTAGCAGAAAAAAAAAGTAAGTGAAACTTAGTAAATACCAGCTGTTAAGAATGATCAATATTTACAGATTAGTGTGGATCTGAGCTACCAGGAGCTTGTTTTCCTCGCTTGCCCCCACGTTTTCTCTCAATAATACAGCTTAGTGCAGACTAGAAACAGTCACAAACCTGATCATTTACATCAATAGAATTCTATGGATCACTAAAAGAAACTCAGTCAATGCCGGGGAGCAAAGTCCCCACACAATAAAAAGATACAAATGTAACAAAAACTATACTCCGGCCCCCAGCCCGGGCTCCCCTGCTCTGTGTTAAAATCCAATAAAGTATCAAAGCATTAAAACATCATTACGTTTGGAAACCGCAGAGTACGGACTTAAATAACACCTAGAACCCTCATCAATACTGTACAGACATACAAATAAATAATATCATTCTTTGGGATACTCAAACCTGCAGAAAAACTCCACATACAAACATTAACCCTTTAAGGACACATGACATGTCATGATTCCTTTTTATTCCAGAAGTTTGGTCCTTAAGGGGTTAAAAGTGACCATTCATACAGAATCATTAAATTACCAGATAACTGCGAATACAACCCGTTAACGACAATTATAGTGGAATTGGCCCTATACCAAGTGAATACAAAATAACTAAACTTGCCTGTCAAGGTCACAGTCCTAGAACTTCCAGCATATTTACTCACGTCTTAGCTGTAACTACCTCCTCGAACGCAGAGCAGGATAGTCCGTCCACTGATGTTTGCACGCACAAACGTAAAATAAATAGCGACTCTCAAATTATCCACCTCTGCTCGTTCAACGTCAAATAGATCCGTTAATAATAAAAATTCATAATAGACATACAGTGCTATGGCAATGTACACGCTTCATGACCCTCAAAGGGTATCTATATAATGAAACTGTTTACCTTCTATATGTTTAACAGCATCTGTCTTTTTGTAAAGAGAGAAAAGGCAGTATTGCTTTAATAAATTTTTTTTGTACAAACCAATGTGTGTTTTTCTTTTTGTACAGGAGAACCATGTCTTTTGAACCAGATTTAAATGGGCAAACATTTTCTGCTACTAGGAGTAAGTATAAACTCACGGTTTACCAAGCCTCCAATATTTATTGTAATAGATTTCATTCTTACAGTACATTTTTATTCTTAGTTACACTGGACCCGGCGAAGGGAAGCACAGAAGAATTTTACAAAACAATGTTAGTGGAGACGGATGACGCAAAAGAGAAGCCAAAAAAAGAGAAGAATGTTTTCAAAAAGTTTTTCCACAAAAAGTAAAAATAAACCATGCACAAGGATGCATCACAAAATGGTTTTAGGTAAAGCAAATGGCAAGTTCTAATGGTTTCTGCTGTTTATGAAAAGAAAGTGCTCAGTCTGTGTTTCCAAACAGAAAACATTGAAATATAGATTATTTATAAGGGAAGACTTCATTGACGAATGCATTTTTATTGTCTGTTCTTTAAACGGGTCAAATAATCTGCAGAGTTAGAGCTTGCAGATCGGACCTGCGAGGGCTGGCAGGGGAATTAGAAGGGCAAATTCCTAAATTCTGGAATTCACTTTGAATTCTCACTGTTAGTGAATAACCCAGTCTGTGTCTTGCACAGATCGTATTGAATTCTATGTCATGCTGTGCATATATGATGTCACACTTGGTGACATCAGCAGCCTCCATTTGTCAAACATATCAATCGCATGCACTGCGAGCGTAAAATCTTCTGCTCACAAAACAAACGTCACACTGAAAGGTGCCTTTATGTAAACATTACTGTAATTCACATTGTTTGTTCTTAGAGGCTTGGATTGGCGATCTTTGTATCAATGGAGAAGTGATACACAGCTATATATAGATACGGTCTATTAAATGTTTTTATATATTTGTTTAGTACACAGGATCTCAGGAAGTATTACAAACAAACAATTATGTAATGACTATAATTTATCAATTTACTCCGTAATGAAGTATTCTAACAGTAAAAAAGAGACTTGGGGAGAAGAAACGCCCCTTGTCTTCCACTTTACGTCAAGCACATTTATTGTGTCAATATTTTTTTTAAATTTAACACTAGATATGCTTACAACTAGCATTATGTGCAGGTAATTCGGAGAAGAGGTTATAATGAAAATTTTTCAAAAGAGGTAAAAATGGGAGAATTAACACTTTCATGCATTTCATTAACAAAAGGTAATTACAAGTCTGAATTTTAAGCACATTATCAAAAGTCCTTTTAGTTACCCAATCTGGTGCATTTTAGGATTTGTGAAAGCTGGCTACCGAAATCTAGAAGCATCCAAATCTATTCCAAACATGCCACCTCTCATTTCCTTACATACTTCCTGGTAAAGTCATTTATAAATAATAAACATACCAATGCATAAAATTAATTTATCTGGTAGATAAGATGGGGTGTAATAAATTTAAAGTTTACCCAACTTTGGTGTTGAATCCCAGGAGTATAAAATATAAAAGAGGTGTATATAGTTTATGTATTACAATAAAATGTTTATTTTGTTTATGCCAACACTAAAGATTACAACACATGTTCCTTAATCTGTATTGTGTATAAATTGTTGTCCCTATGGCACCACCACTGCTGATAAGTGTCCCCAATTCCCCTTTTTTCTAATAATAAAGATGTTGGCCTTACCTTCGTTCTGAGTAACTGTATCTGTCATTTAACAATTTCTGTCCCAGTACACTTGGCAGAGAGTACAGAGACAGGATAACACTAGCCCTATACTGACTGCTGTCTCAAACTGGGAATAATATGCAATGTGAACAGCAGACTGATCCCCGATAAGTTACATTATTACTATTATTGGCATTTATATAGCGCCAACATATGCCGCAGCACTGTACAATCATAGAATGGGGATTCTAACAACAAGTAATTTACATATGCAATATAACAGAGACAAGAGGTGAAGAAGGGCCTGCTCAAACCAGCTTACAGTCTGAGACAGAGAAATAACAGCATGTCAGAGGGATGGAGGCCGTGCCTGTGTTGAAATAAGCTGCTAAAAGTGTATAGGGGAGAGAGTGGAGCCAGGCTATGGAGCAGAGGGAACTAATGACGGCAGTGAAATGGGAGAAACATTTACCCAGGGGAGTCTGATGGCACGGGGTAGGGAATTCGTAAGGAACGGGGCAGTTATAGAAAAATCCTGCAGATGAGAGTTGGCAGAATGGGAACAAGTAGATGTTAGGAGAAGGCAATTTACAGAGTGAAGGGAACGAGAAGGAGTGTATTTGTTCGATAAAGAGAAGAGAAAAAAAATAAAAAGTCAAAAATATCAAAATCCAACATTTTGCTATGGAAGTAAAGTTAAAAAATAGTCACAGCATGCTACCGCTTCAATTTACATAAAGAAAATGTTCTTTTTTTTGTTTAAGGAAACACACTCGTTTGATATTCAGATGGATGGAATGAAAGGGTGCCGATCACTACCATTATTGGTACCAAAAGTATTCTGGGAGTCATTCCTTGAAAAAAAACACACACTCCCGATACAAGTTCCCCACGTGATTAGTAATTCAGTGTACCTGGTTACAGTACTAGATTGATCCGCTATCCCGGCTTTTTTGTTTATGTGCAATAGCGTCCCGCACAGCTTGTAGGATGAGCTTTTCGTTGTTCATGACATTGTATTCAGTCAGTTTTACCAGCTTGTCAAAGTCTTTATCACTGTAGGTTAGGTTGAGCAGGTGATATGGTGACCCAAAGCCAGACAGATTCAGTTGACCATCATCATGCTCCTCGGGGCTGCGTTTTACCCCTGGAAAAGCAAAACCGAGGATTTAAAAAAAAAATCAAAAAAAAAAATCCATTACATTCACATTTATTGAGAATAATTCAGTAAGCAGGAGATATATATATATATATATATATATATATATATATATATATATATATATATATATATATATATATATATATATATATATATATATATATATATAATTATTTGCCTTAAAATTAAATGTGACAAATACAATTACCAAGAAAGTCAAGTCCCAACAGGGGAACTAGTTTGACGCACGTTTCGGAGCACGCCAGTGCCTTTGCCACGAACAAGATTATTATTTTTTTCTCAGTAGCTCATTGCACGGGTTTTAAAGGGGTAAAAACACACACAGCATGGACACTGCTTTCTATTTTTTGAGTGAGGCATACCTTTATTTTATGTAATTATTTATTTTTCATTTTCTATTTGTGTTACAATTTTTTAAAAAATATTTCCACCAACTATAAGTAGACCGCCACTGCCTGTGACCCTTTGTGCCCTTTCAAACAATGGCAGCATGGCTCATACATGCACCTTGTAGGGAGAGAGATCACAAATAAGGTACTTTAAAACATAACGATCGATGTAAGCTTAAAGTACTGAACTCAAGTGGCACGCTTTGTGCCAACGGTATGGAGACCCAATACATTTAAATTACATTTTCATGCAAATAAGCTTAATAACTTACCTGGTTCTTTGAAGTCTTGAAATGTATCAGCTACGAGTGGGAAATGGAGAATGATTGGAGCTTCAGCATTGTCTGGTTCGTAAAACATAACACATTCCTTGGGGTGCTTTTTTTCCTCTTCGCTTAACTGGATTTTGGGAAAGGGGATTTTCTGACGGGCACAGTAGGTTTGAGTCTGTTCCACTGACTGAAATCACAAGCCGTTTAATAGGATTGTATACCATACAGATCTACTGACTCTTTGCAATGAGGCACATACATATTTTTATCATGTATAAAAGGTATCTTCTTAAAATGGTACTATACATACTATTGTTAGGGACAAAATACTTGAATGGATAAAATGTCTATTTTTCTCTGTACATGTGTGCCCATTCAGTAAAATGTTTCCCTTCCCCCTCTGTGTGCTTAGTAACCATTTCCTCTGTAAACCTCTCTCATCCTGCTCCCCCCCCCCTTCCTATTGAGCAAAGCCTTGTGTAACAAAATGAAGATTCACTGTGTTAAAGGAGCTGCTTCCCTTTCTAACCCCTCCCCCACTTTCTTTGTTAAAATAACGTCTCTCTCTTAAGAACTTGCCATGTGTAATAAAATGGGGCTGGGATACAAAGAAATGTCACGTGACGATGCTGGACTCACGCCCAGTGGGGTGGTATCAGGAAAGACCCCTTAGACTGTTAAAAGTTGAAAGTATACTTTGTGTTATCTGTAACTATGCATATGACGTATTTCTGCTTTATAAGGGGGTCCCACCCCTTGGAATAAATATTCCTCAGGTTTTTCACAAACCAGAAACATGTCTCCGGTGTGAATTACTTTCTAGGAAAGCGTGCACACAATTAATTAATTTGGAACGGAGTAGACAGACATATAATCAAACACTTGATTTGATCTATAACACTATAACCACCACAGCATGCCCCGGCACCAAACCTGGATTCATGGTTAAACCTTTACAGCGGTGTCACACAAAGTGATAGTTGGCAGCGAGACCCGGCATAGGTCAACTGAGACGCACTGCCAGTGAATATCATCCAAATGTGGACAAAATTGATATTGTTAAAGTACTGTGGGATGGCAGCCGAAGCATGCTGGTACCATACCCACTACAGTTTGCTTTAGTAGCTATGTAGCTCAGACTGTCCCTTTAAGGATATCTCCCAAACATATGAATAAAATATTTAACCCCTTAAGGACACAGCTTCAAAAGATTGCCTTACCCTTAAGGACACAAGCCATTTTTGAAATCTTTGCTGTTTGACAGAGATGCAAATTGCGTTTGAACACATTTATTGCACCAACACATATTATATACCATTTTTTAGAGGGCAAAAAGGGCTTTAATTTGATGTCACATATACATAGATAATGTCTCATTACTTATAAAAAAAAAGGGGGGAAAAAACACTTTCACAGTTTTGGCAATCATAGCGTGTGCATAATATGTCCAGGTTACGAAAAAAGTAATTCAAAATAAATTAATTTATGTGTTTTGCTTTATAGATATTTGTAGGTTTAGTAGCCATCACAGAAAACAAAATTGCCACAGAAAAGTATATATTTATATAAAGTAGACATCACAGGCTATTTACCTAAGGTTAGTTTGACACATTTTGCATAGCCATTTCATCACCAATCTCTACCAAATATTGGAGTAAAATTGTTTTTTCTCCTCTGTTTTGGCATATAAACATATAACAAGGTTTTTGTAATGTGTGTTTCCTAAAGCTGGTGTGTGCGGTATTCCTGCACAGAACCCCATATTGTGTTCAGCTACATCTGCTGAATATAAGGATACCCCTGTTGTATGCCTTTGCCACTATTCTGTGAAGCTACAATGCCATATAATAGACCAGGCTATTTCAGTTTCTATAGTTAGAATTTTCGTAGATGGATTTGATGGGCCTATGTCTCATTTTGGGGTATTATACCAGTGTGACTGTTCAAATAACCCCACAAAGGGCTTTCATTTGATAAAGCAGACACCCCAGGGTATCTTATATGGCATTTATTGTGCCTTAATTTGTCACCATTTTTTCACCAATTCATGCCAATGTTTGTGGTGAAGGGAAGAAATTGCATTTTTACATACATGTTGCATTTTTGATGAGTATTTCTTACACTTGATATGTGCCACTGTCATAAAAGCCCCCAAATTATGCTCAGTTACATCTTCTGATTAAAACAATATGCCCAACGTATGACCTAGACACTATTTTGTGAAGTTACAGTGCTGTAAAAGAGACGTGACAAGTGAAGGTTTTTAAGTGTGGATTTTCATGGAGGGTTTAGATGCGTCGATGTCCCAGTTTGGAGCACTTTAACAGGCTACGCCATAAAGACATCCCAGGGTATTTCAAAAGGCATATTTTGAACCTTATCGTGAAATAATCTTTCCACTAGCTTGTACCAAGTGTTAGTGGTATTAAGCGTTTTTTTCTGCCTTTGACACACACAAAGTGAGCTTGCACAGTATATTTTGAAAACCTTATGTGTGCTATGGCTGACTAATACTTCATATGTTGCTCAGCTGTGTCGTATGAGTACAGCAATGCCTGTGTCTCAAATGTGCCCTTTCAATTTTTTTTTCAAACTTTGAATTTTTACGCTGTGTCCATTTCCCATTTTGGAGTATTTTAGCAGGCCATATATTCCAACTACCCCATAAAGGCATACCATTTCTTAAAGAAGACATCCCAGGGTACTTCAAAATGCATATTTTGAACCTTAGCATTGGATCATTTTTTTACTATTTTGTTTTCAGGTGTAGTGGTAATTAGCATTGTTTATGTATTTATTTACTCTTTTTAAAACTTGTTTTCAAACTTTTTTTACTTATTACTTTTTTTTACCGTTAACCCGTAACTAGCAGTAAGTAGCACTAACAGTAAATTCCCCAAATTTACCATAACTCCCACCCACCCCAGCTAGAAAAATATATAATTTTAAAATAATTTATAAGATAACCCTCAGGGGTTAAAAAAAAATAAAAAATCATATCACAGTATAATACTGTGATCTGTATTTTGATCACTATAGCCAGAGAAGGGGTTAATTTTTATTAGGGGTGGTACTTTTTTTAAACATTATTAAAACATTTTTAAAAAATTTTTTTTTTTACTTTAAGCTTTTTTTTTTAACATTAACCCCTAGCTAACCTAACCAAATTCCCCAATTCCCCACTAACTTCCACCCACTCCAGCTAGCTAAACATAAAATTTTAAAATATTTAAATTAATAAAATAAATTTAACCCCTGAGCGTTTAAAAAAACAAAAAAACAGACCACAGTAAAATGGAGTCTCTGCAAATTGATCACTGTAGTCATTGATAGCCTGTCAGAGTGATCACAGCTGCAGGGACAGAGCGATCTAGGGTTAACTTTAGAAATTTTCCATTATGTATCCTTAATGCAAGGACAAGCATGACGGAAAATTTCTGTCTAACGTCGCAAAGGGGTTAAACCCAACATGTAAATATAGTTAGACCCCCCCCCACCCTAAATAAAACAAGTATTTCCCAGAGATGGAATCTTAACCAAAGACAAGTTTTTACGGTGTTAGAATTAGGTTGAATGGATTGCAGTGACTTACCAGAAACTTTCTGGACAAACAATAATCAAATGACAGGATTACATCCACCTTGCGTTCCTCCCGCAGCAAGGATGGGAAGCTGGCGTTAATATAATATGCACTGTCCACCAAGCACAGGCTGTCCGTGAATGGGGTCAGCTCGTTTGGACATTGTCGGGTCTTTGTGTCTGAAAAAAATTGCAATTAAATGAGTATTTTACGTTTTGCCCTTTCCACTCTCTGATATTCTGCCTTTTTACGCATTTTTTTTAAATATTCTATATCTGGGTTTAACATTACACGGTCTTTGTTACCATTCAAGATTTAACGTTAGTGGCCACTGCAATTCTGGAGTCATTTGCTCACAAAGGTTTAATTTCTACTCACAGGACCTAAACTTTCACTCAGTGGCTAGTGGACATTTTGAGCCCTATATTTAAAAAAAAATAAAAAAAATTCTTGCAACAATATAAGATAAAAAAAAAAAATACTTCAAGTAGCCAATATCAGGACATTTGGCTGTTTTTGCCATTTGTATAAACTATATATAGCCATGTGTTTAGGAACCTTTTGGCTGGACTTGCTCATTCTTGGGGGCCCACATGTACTAAAAGAGATTTTCTATAGCCACAGTACAGTTCTATGAATTTAAGCAGAGTTGCGTAGAAGGAACAAGCTTCCAATTCCCACTGGTTGGTTTACCTTCAAATGACGTGAATCCTTTATGTTTGACATAGTCCTTGTGAATTTGAAGTCCTTTCAGGAAATTGTGCTGATCCCCATCAATCGGTCGCTTAGTTAAAATGTCCCTCACGGTGCTGCTTAATTTCCCTGAAGGCTGGATGACACGGGTCTCCGCACCAGTGCTATCCTCACTTCTTTTTGCCAGAGATAGATTAGGATCTTCCCTTCTTTTTGCTAGAGCTTCTTCATCATCTGTTTAAAAATACACGTCAATTGAAGCTACTTTGGCTTGCTAAAATGCTTTGTGTGAGAAGAGCGTCTTTTTTTTATTTTACAAACAGTGTCGATTTTAATATAAACAGCACTTTTCTGAATTAATCTGGTTCCACCCTCCCCCCCTCCCCCCCCCAGCTGTCAATCAGAGAACCAGTCCTGTTACTTCCTGGTTTGTTGAGCTCAGTGGAACTAAACTCTATAGGCAGCAATTACCCAGAGAACCTGACTTGCAAAGACTTCTCATTGAGCTACATTGCAAAGTCTGTGATTGGACAGCCACAGAAAGTCTGGGCGGGGTTAGAAGGGGAGGGCTTGCTAAGGCTGCAGACAAGAGATCTACAAGTTTTGCAAGCTCTCATGGTTTTTATATACACATGTGCAGTTTTATTATAAAACAAAGACAAAATATCCTACCAAGGTGCTGTACATTATCCTTTGTAAACCGTTCCCAAAAATTTTCAGAAGTTGTAGCCGCAAACCAAGCATCCATTAAATTTATGGAGAAGATGTTGCTCCATAACCCTATGAAATAAGAGTAGAAGTTAAACAATATTGAGATAACCCAGCCTTTACTAATAAAGTCACTTGCCAACAGCTTGAGGCAGCCTACTGGTAAAAATATATGTAACATGAGGTATAACGGATAAATAGCAAAGACCAGTTTTCATATTTATAAGTTGAAATGTATTGCATACAATTAATCAAACAAGACAACAATCCCATAATACACACACAGTTATTTTAGTTTATTAGTAAATTGTACTTATACCCATACTGTGCTTTATTTGCCCTTCCAATAATTGGGGTCTACATGGACTTGTGAGAGATGGCAGACACCATGATAATGGCCTACGGAGTGCTTTGGGGTCACCACGTAGCTTAGTGTGCTCGTGGTTGGAGAAGAGAGTAATCCTTGGGCTAATTAGTAAACTTAGAAATACATTTCGGTCTGAACTGCATTTCGTACAAGTCCATTGAATTACTGAACTCCGAGCTGAAATGTACCCGGATTATGAAACAACTGAAATGCACATTGGCCAAGCACATTTGTTTGTTTGTTTGTTTTGATTTGTGAATTGGAATTCTGCCTGTTGCACCAAAAGAAATGACTGATGGTAAAATTAAACAAAAAATAATAATTTTTTTGTTGGTCTGATTCAGTACCAGTCTGCAGCGCAGAGCCAACATATAAACGAAATTCAACTCAAATCTTTTTACTTTTGTGAAAAAAAAAAAATATATTCTTAATTTTCTGGCTGTGCACAAGTCTACTAGTAAATGTGAATCTACCAAGACACACAAAGTTAAAACTGTAATTTGTCAGGAATTTGAAAAAAGTGAACTTTTAAATTTTAGGACAAAATGGTTGAATTAAAAACACATTAAATGCACTTTAATGTATAACGTTTCCTATAATGACCCGTATTCCCAGAGAGTATTTTAAACAGTTCTAGGATGGGGTCTACGATCTTCCATTAGTGACTCTTTATCCTCAGTTGTGTTATCCCGTGAAGAAAGAAGATACCCAATCTGTACATTTCCACACACGATGAAAGGTTGTGAAACAGAAAATGGTGGCACTTTTTCTATGGGAAAATAGGCAAGTTTGGGGGGAAAAACATGGGTCTTGAAAAACTGGGTCTTAGCAATGGTTGTTAGACTATAAAGACTCACTGATTGTGTTTGTATGTTTTTTTGGGGTGAGTATTGTACAAACCTTTATCCTGTGTATAGTTCAATGTATTCAACAGTAAAGTTGAAATGTATTCCCCCAGACAGTACTCCAACTTTAGTTTGTTTGTTTGTGGAGACAAATTCTGGAAGGGACTGTAAATCACTTCTAAGTTTAGCGCTCGCAGTATATTCATGAAAAACAGGATTCAAAGACCTGCATTGTTAACATTAATCTTTGCCTATCCACCCAGTGACCATCACCACTGCCAAACCAAACCGAAATGTGTCTCACCCTGTAAATAGCACAGCCTGGATTCGGGGAGTTTCTTTATCAACTGACCCATGAAAAACTCACTGCCAAAATCCTCTGAACGAATAAATGTACCATATTTAAAGAGGCCCACCTCGTACGGAGAAAATTCACACCACTCTGTGATTGGAAAAGAACAGAACAATTTATGTATATATTAATGTAATCAAACTCACAGCAAATCCTTGTACCTGTGACATGTTAAAAAAAACATTCTTGGCATAGATTTATAGACTTTCCCCAGTTGAATGTACGCATACAGTACTGATGGTTTAGAGCCACAAAGACGATTAACGTAGTGACCTAGAAGCTCTGTAAACATACAAAGACAATTATATACATGCAAATTATCTGTCCTCCTCTGATTTCTCACTACCCCTCTTGACTCATGTCTCTGATTGCCTCTCAGCTATTTTCAACTGGATAGCTGCTCATTTCCTTAAACTGAACCTTTCCAAAACAGAACTTCTGGTCTTCCCACCCTCAAGTGTTGCTACTCCCATGTCTGTGTCCCTCCAAGTCAATGGTGCCACCATCCACTCTCTCTCAAAGGCTTGCTGCCTAGGTGTTCTCTTTGACTCCGACTTCTCCTTCACCCCTCATGTCCAATCAATCGCCAAATCCTGCCGCTTCCATCTCAAAAATTTTGCGCACATCCGACCCTATTTAACACTTGGTACGGCAAAAGTGCTTGTCCATGCCACTGTCCTCACTCGCCATGACTACTGCAATCCACTTCTCAGTGGTCTTACGTGTTCCCAACTTGCAACGTTACAGTCTATAATAAAGGCGGCGGCGAGGCTCATCTTCCTGTCTGCCCGCACCTCCCATGCCTCCCCCCCTTTGTTAGTCCCTTCATTGGCTTCCCGTGAGATATGTGGCTCAAATTAAGATCCTGACACTTGCTTACAGATGTTGTTCCCACCTACTTATCCTCACTAATACACAAATATGTCCCGTCTAGGCCCCTAAACTCTGCCGGAGACATACGTCTAACCTCTGTTCGTACTCCCATCTATGATGCTCACCTTAAATACTTCTCTATGGCTGCACCGTTCCTATGGAACGCCCTTCCCCTCTCTGTTAGATTCTCACCCAGTCTCCACTCCTTCAAATAATCTTTGAAAACATATTTCTTTAGGAAAGCATATCAATTAAACTGTGAACAGCTTTCCCTCCCCGCACCCCGATTCCTCTCATCAAAACAAAACATTAAGCCCTTAATGAATGCTATCCAAGCAACCTACTTTTCTATCATAACCTTATCTTTTGTGTCACTATACCCCACTCCCTTTAGCATGTAAGCTCATTGAGCAGGGCCCTTAACCCCTCTGTTCCTGTGTGTCCAACTTTTCTGGTTACAAATACATGTCTGTTAGTCCACCCATTGTACAGCACTACAGAACTTGTTGGCAGTTTATAAATAATAATAATAATAATAATAATAATAATAATAATATTCACCCATGGGGTGACAGACTAATGTTCTATTGACCTAATGTACTCCTTAAAGGGATACTATAGTCACCAAAACAAGTTTAGCTTAATGAAGCAGTTATGGTGTATAGATCACGCCTCTGCAGTCTGACTGCCATTTAAGCATTAAATCACTTTTGTTTCTGTTACCTGCAGGGTCTAGAAAATTACTAGCAGAGCAATAGATACATTCTAACTTAAACAGAATTTGCAATAAAGGAAGTGTAAACATTAGATGACTCTTTACAGGAAGTTTTTGGAAAGGCTGTGTAAGTCACATGCAGGGAAGTGTGACTAGCACTGTATAAACAAAACAATTCAAATGGCAGAGAATTGGGCAGTGAGACCTCAGGGGCATGACCTATACAACAAAACTGCTTCATTAAGATAAAGTTGTTTAAGTGACTATAGTGTCCCTTTAAAATATAAAAGAACCTGCACGAGTACTCATTTATATTAATAGTTTAGGTTGTGTGTATTCTCCGCTATATATACACATGAAAAGGCAAATGAAGATAATTCAGAAGCCCAGGAAAGAAGCAAGGGAGAGTGGTTTCGATGAGCACTAGTGGCTTGCCCACGGTGCGGAGGTATTTATAGGGAAAGACGTGTTGGGGTTAAGGTTGATACTAGTGGGGCTTTAGACCCTCCAACCCTCATCTTTACCTTTTTACCTCCTGCTAAACCTTTTTTAATTATTTTCTCTAGGGTTCACTCTATATTGTTGTGCAACATTGAGGTCACTGTATCCATGCAGTCTTGACAGTGAATGGGCTTTTATTATGGGACACTGTTGCCACCGTTCCCCTAAGCGCTACTTAGTCTCTCCCCCTCATGGCTGTATCAGTATATTAGTCTTTTGATTTCTTTAGTTCAAATATTCCCTAGAATTAATAAAGGTAGGACCCCCCTTCTCCATTACGTAAGTTGTTCTCCTATCCTTTATTCCTTATACATATATATATATATCATACAACATCCAGTGCGCTAGTCCATTCACTAAGCAGCAATTTTAAGTCTGTAATAGTTTTTTTTTTTTTAAACAACTCACCTAAGCAAAAAGTAATGGGTGTTTAGTTACAGTATATGATCATACATTGCATAAGCCTGCCATAACGTCAATGTACCCCGTTCCTAGCAGGAATGGGGTACAGTGATATTGTTTTTAATGGAATTTATGTATTTAGTATTTATGGAAAATACACTACGGTTTGAGGGATTTGATGATCCTGCACAAACAGATATGTATCAGTAATAATATCTTCTGTAAAACACCATTACTTACCCTTAAAATCCAGAGTGGTTCTATCAGAATCCTTCACGTTCATTGCTAGGTATAGAGGCAGCGGGTTCTGTCCTTGATTTAAAGCCTTTCTTTGATCAGAGAGTTTTGTGTCATTGATCTGTTATGAAAAAAGTAAAACATACATGTAATTATATAGGAAGGAAAGTGAAGATACACAGGTACAATCTCCCCTATAATCCCCCTCATTTGGCCCTGACTAGCAAAACTAATCTAAACTCCAGTGAGGGGGGTTGTGATCAGTTGACCCCACAATTTATTTAGCCACTCTGGACCATACAGCCACCCCATGTTACTCATTATGTCCCAGGCTACCAATTTAGTAGACCACTGTTCCTTGTGTTGCCCTACATGGATTTTTCTTGAGTGGATATCAATAAATGTTAGAAACAGATGTGATTGAAACAGAATAAATCATCAGAGGAAGAATAATATAAAAATGCCCTCTAACTAAATGAGCCATGCTCTAAAAACACACACCGCAAACTGTATGGTTAACGCACCCCATCATGCAAGATGGACTCAATCACCAGACCCCAGAGATCTGTAACAGAAGTCTTATAGCCCATCTCTGCCCTCTTCTTCATTTCATCTCGGTAGAAGGCCAAGCAGTCGAAGCTAAAAGCAGAGAGCTTACTGCTGGTCAATATCTTCTGGGCTTCTTGTATCGGCCGAGCCAAGTCATGATGTGACCAGTCAGGGTCCTCATACAGCTTACACATGCCCCTAGCAAATAAATACAAACACACAGGACTGAAACCGTGCACAGAGTTTGGAGAAGTTATAAAGTGTATTTTACTGCATTTCAGAGCAGTTCATGGTTTGAGCAGCAGGTTTGAAAATGTACCACGAGGTATCCAATTAGAAGTGGATAATTTTTGGATGCAGTATCAGATTCGGCGATAATAAAGCAAGATATTTCAGTGGCAAACATTGATTCGGCTTGTAAACAATCTGAAATAAAATGGTGTCAGCTGCTGCTCAGGAATATAACTACACTTATAGGAGGCACTTGGACATATCCCAGTCTACCTGAGATTAATGGTAAAACGAGCCCATACCTCAGGAGGCCACCGCAAATGTTATCTACCTGTTAAAGGGGAGATATAGATATATATTTTTTAATAAATTATTAATTATATATGTCCATCCCAGTGACAGGAATCCTTATATCCCGTGTTACTACCCTGGTTTAAATCAATAATTTTCATAAAAGAAAGAATCAAGGTTGGGGCGGTTATGTCCTGGTTACCATTGTCTACCTAGAAATTAAACTTGAAGATTTAACCAACCTACCATTATATTTCCAGCTATGACTGACGGCTTATAATATAGTCTTTTTCCAATCACATTTTTAATAAGTTGCAGTATTTTACAGTAAAGGTTATTATATTATAAATCCATAATTCCTTGATTCCTACATTTGGTTAATGGCATCTTACGGTGTTATAGAGAAGTTTTATTTCCATGGGGGATGCAGGTCGTACATTTTGTAGGTGAATAATTCTGGTTTCTAAAAACTTGTCCTGATTAAATTCTGGTAAAACACTGAAATGTTGATAGAATAAACCTTCAACTATTTTCTTTATTAAGTCCCAGAGCAATTATTCTCATTCTTGGATATAAAGGTATTGAGAAAGCTTGGACCGGTCACTATTCTAATACAGTCCTAGAGGGGAGGACATTTATCGCTCTGTAATTTGAACATAAACCAATCCAGCATTCTTTGCAATAACTTTGAAGCCTAAATGGTTCCAAGCAGGAATAAAGTTGCTGTCACAAATGGAGAATACATTGACAGGAACGTTCCTTCTTACCAGGTGGAGCCAGATGCTCCAGTGATATAGGACACCGTGTCCAGAAGACTCATTTTCTTTAGCCCAGACAGGCTGCCATAGAGTGCGGTCATTGCTCTTGCGCCGCCACCAGTAGTTGTGACAGCAATCACAGGAACCTATTTCAAATCGAACATAGTCTGAGATAACATGAACCATTCCATGCAATTATAGAGCAGTCCAATCAGCAGAATGGGGGAGGGTGCGAGTGCTGGGGTGTATTGGAATGCAGTTTGTGAGTGCTGGTGTGTTACGGGCAAATGCAAATATTACAAGTTTTAGAATGAAATGTTGTATTTCTTAAACTGTGTACTTTGTCTTTAAGAGATATTGCAAACTGACAAGGTGTTAGAAATGGAACATATTGTTTTTCATAACTGTTTCTTTAAGCAATAACCTCAGTGCATAATATGTTTGCGCCATTTTGTCCCAGACGAATTACAATAACAATAATGCATAAACAAGCTTCAAGGCTATACTACGACTCTTGCAGTACACAATATACTGTGGTAACCCCAAGTTAATGGAACTTCCCCAAATCCGGGAATCTCCCACGACTGTACACTTACGACTTAGTATAAACAACAGATAAACTATTCAAACTTTAAGATGCCATCTTGAACTAAGTCAGGAAAATTTCCATGACGTATACACCCTTTAGTTATGGCCTTGTATGTTTGCCAAGTTAAGGGAGGTCCTAAACTGAATAAAGTAAAAGAAGTGTTACTTTTTCATATTTGAACTACAGTAACCTAAAATGGAGACATCTAAGGTATAAATAGGTGTACTTTTAAATGTTAAAACACAGAGGAGAGACTTGGAGACAGACGCTGCTCCATCTTAAAATGACAGAGAGGCTGACATGATGACATGTTCAGAAGGGTATGTTAACCTATTAATGATATTTGCAAGCATTTAGTTTACTCTGATAAACTCTGCTATAATGGATTTTACATTTATATTTTTATATAATAAATATCCAAAAAGACAAAACTATTGCTTCCAAGACAATCCTTATTTTATATTGTATTCTCAATTATTTATATATGTTAAATAGAGGATCTCTTACACTATATAAAATTATGGCTAAGATATCTGTATGGTTAGCCCTACTAAGTTCTATGCTTTAAGACATTATAGTGGTAAATAAGGGAACCACCAGCGGTTACAGGTGTGTAATGGAATGCAGTGTGTGTGTGAGTGCTGGGGTGTATTGGAATGCAGTGTGTGTGTGAGTGCTGGGGTGTATTGGAATAGAGTGTGTGGGAATGCTGGGGCTTACTGGAATGCAGTGTGTGTGAATAATGGAGTATATCTGAATACAGTATGTGAGAATGATGGGTTGCACTGGAATACAGTGGATGTGAATGCTGACCGTGTATTGGAATGCAGTGTGTGAATAATGGAGTATATTGGAATGCAGTGTGTGAATGCTGATGTGTATTGGAATGCAGTGGTGGTGAATAATGGAGTATATTTGAATCCAGTATGTGAGAATGATGGGTTACACTGGAATACAGTGGGTGTGAATGCTGGCCGTGTATTGGAATGCAGTGTGTGAATAATGGAGTATATTGGAATGCAGTGTGTGTGAATGCTGATGTGTATTGGAATGCAGTGGGTGTGAATAATGGAGTATATTTGAATCCAGTATGTGAGAATGATGGGTTGCACTGGAATGCAGTGGGTGTGAATGCTGGGGTGTATTGGAATGCAGTGGGTGTGAATGCTGGGGGTGTATTGGAATGCAGTGTGTGAATAATGGAGTATATTGGAATGCAGTGGGTGTGAATGCTGGGGTGTATTTTTATGGAGTGCATTTGTACCCCCATTCCTCTCCACATGACATAAGCCAACCAACTCCACGTCATTCCTATTTTCAGGCCTATGCCATCGTTACCATCATGTGCAGTCAGACTGGGTTTATCATATAAATTGTAGTTGTAAAACATCTGGGGTGCCACAGTTAGTCATTTAGCTCAGTCCTACCAAACCCCTAATCCACTGACTCCGGTATGGTTTGTGGTGGATCCAGTAAAGCTGAGATTCTATTATATGCACTCCACGTCACTCGTCATTCATGGAAGGTAAGGAGGGGAGGCCGCTGTGAACACTCACTCTGCTCACATCTCTTCCTTCGCCCCTCATTAAACAGCCACAACAATTGTTGCCAAAAAACCTGCACAAAGTTATCATTACATATTGTTGGTCGTTAGGATTCCTCACCTCGTCTGCTTGAAGATCTCGCTCTAGATTCAGAACCTTCTTTAACGCTGCAGCGGACACTTTACTTCTATTTTGGAGAAATATTTTCTCATCATCACAGAGATCAAAACCCATGCGCATGTCAAGCTTCTCCGGGCTGAAATCAAGAAGCAGACTCAAATTAAAAGTAGTCACAATTAAGACAAAGAACTTCATTTCTTCAGAATTCTTTTCTTCTATAATTCTTCAATTACACTCATCACTAACTCCCACTTAGAAGACATCTTCCTAGACTGAAATTCACAAAGTGGGTGCATTGGTTCTATCATTTTATCCCTGCAATGTAAAACAGTTTTTAGAAACTGGAATGTTTACATTGCAGGACTAAGTCCACATCAAATGGCTGACAGCATGACACTAAATGACCAAGTGAAACTGTCACGTGACGCAGAAGTCCCATTGTGTAGCATGCTTTCCGATGGGGACGTTTGGAAACACAGCGTTTGCTGAGCATGCGCATTAGGTCCCAATTGCTCCTATGTGGAGCATTGGATTGGACGGCGTCGTAGGAGGCCATATCTCCTCCGTGATGTCACTGGAAGTGGGGAGGCAAGCAGCCTTTATGTAAAACTTACATTTTTAAAAAATATTAATGTGCCTCGGGGGGGAAGGGGTTTCCCAACGCTATAGTGTTTCTATAACTTGTGTAGTGTTTGTTACTTTTCAATCACATTGTAAGGTGATCCTGAATAGGTTTGCATTACATAAATAATAACACAATATGTATTAATCGATTTTACTGCCTTTATGTAACAGTGATTTTTGCATTTCCTCCGTTTTATTTTTGTTGTAAAACTGAAATTGAAAAACATAAGAAACCTACAATAATGAAAAGATTAATTCAATTTAAAGGCTGCACAAATCTGGGAATATTCAGCAAGCCAGGAGTTCTGATTAAACTGGGTCGTAATAGCCAATTTAGGAAAAGACAAGCCAAAATGAGCTATTTTAGCATCAAAAAATCCTTGTCCATTCTCTAAAATGCTCCGTTTACGAATATATCCCAAAGATATTGGTAAAAGTGGAAATAAAATTATACATGTGCTCTTAAAGGTTTGGTTCATGGGTGAGTTTCATGTTTTTGAAAGAAATTAATCTTGCATAACATATTGCCCTACATTTGTTTCCTTATTGTGAGATGGATTTAATATTTTCGGATAAGCTGTTTTGTGAATTCTTTTGAAATTTTTTTTTTATATTTTGACATATGTTTTTATATACAATATAATTTTGATTTCTTAATATTTACAAGTACAAGCATTTGAAAAGTGTATCCAAAAATATTATAATGGAGGCCATAATGTCTGAAATCCCATAAGATAAATAAAGACTAAATTATCACCAAATTCAAAATGTTTGTTAAATCTGTGCTAAAAGAATCATCAGAGAGGAAAAAATTCAAACAAAGTAAAACAACTGACACACACACACACACATACATATATACACACATATACATATATATACATACATACATATTATATATATATATATATATACATACATACATACATACATACATACACACACATATACACATACACACACACACACGATGATAATCTGGATAACTTTACCAGTGAGATGCTTTTAGGTTCAGCTCCAGGGACTTGATCTGAGGGACACAAAAATTAAATAAAAAATAAAATAGGAACAAGAGAGCTCATTTCAGACACTGTGTAGTATATGACAAACTATTTATTTTACTTAATGGCTGATTAACACACATACATGATATATTGGTATGTGTTAAATTACATCAGAATCAAAAGATCCCTCCGTCTTACAAGTCTTTAAGAGCAGTGCAGGATATTGGGGAAAAAAAAAGAGCCATTTTGTGGGAAAATGGGAGGGGCAGAGACATATCTAGGTTACGTGGCACCCGTGATGGAAATCTATGTTGGCACCAATAGAATTTTTATTATTTTTTTTGGGGGGGAAGCAACGTTACCTGTGCACTATCCTGAGCCCCTATACACATTTAAATAACAGAAGGAGGTTCTTAGAATCACTCCAAGGGCCATTACAGTGCAAGCTCACCTGCCCCATCATGGCGTTTCTGTTAATGCGAATTATAAAACAGCATAAAATATATTGTATGAATTTTGTTTGATAATTTCAACTTTTTTTATAAAAAAAATTTTTTTTTTGCTATTATTATTATTAATGTATTTTTACAATCCCTGTTGTGATTTTTTCCTTTGTGGGAAACTGAACATTTTTATGGATTCAGGGTGCGTAAGAAGGTTGATCGATACTGGAGCCCATTTTTTCCTAATCACTCTTGGTTATTTGAAATCTTGGATTCTTGGTTATTTGATTGTGTAGCGATAATTGTGGGACAAACATCTGACAATTTTCATTGTTTGCAAGACCAGATAAAGGAATATTGGTTCATTGTTTACACAGTCTAAATTACTTACAGAGGGATTTAGGCAAATTAGGGGACTGAGCAGACACGAGGCAGAAGAGATTGCCTGGGGAGAATCCTGGTATGAGGAACATGTAAGTGTTAGCGTTAAATTAGAATTATTACAGACAATAGATTGGGAAACATTTCGCAATGTCGGCCAGTAAGGTATTGTCATATTGAATGTATTAACATGCATGATTAAAATATCATTCTGCCAATCTCTAAAACAATGATAAGACTCCACCTTGAATATATGAAGCAACTTTGGGCAAATGGGCACCTGTTTTAAAGAGGAAATTCTAAAGCTACAAAATTGCAAACGGACCTACGACATTAAGAAGAAAAAATGTTACAACGAAAGACTAGGAAACCTGGATTTGTTTATTTTAGAAAACAAATGCTTCATAGGGAATAGGATTACTGTATACAAGTGTATAGAGGGCAAGTGAGCGTAGCTCTTGCTCATTAAAAGGACATCAATTTAGACTTGAAGAAAAGAAATTTCTCTTACAGCAGCAGAAATGATTCTTTACAGTAAAAATACTATTTTTGTAAAAGGTCTAAACATGTCTTTCAAAAACAAATAAAAAAAACAAAACATGAAGAATGTAAAGGATAGAATAGTTAATGTGCAAATTAACAGCTTGGTGATACAAAGCGAAAGCTTTTTTTTTTTTTTTTGACAATCTTTATTTTCAAGTTTTATCATTTTTTCAAGGAAAGATGTAGTAACGGTATAACGTCAATTTTAACATCAGTTTTCTGAATAGCTTAACAACATTCGTCACCATTGTTTTAACATTCTCAAAACAGTTTTCTCAGACAATATTTCTATAGTTTCCATCACATGCTTTAGGTAGAATTATTTAAGGTTAGGTTTCTAGTCTCGTATCCCCACTAGCCTACAATGCGCAGTTTGTTGCACCTATGGTGTGCGCTCTACGTGTAGGGTGTGAATCGGTGTCTAGTCTGGGTACTGTGGGGGGTAAGTTTTCTGACACGCTACATTTCTCATTTCACGTTTCCTACCAACAGTGTCAGGAACCTTTTTGTCGCTTGACATGTATATATATATATTGTTGGGCATGGTATAGGGCCACGCTAGCGAGAAAAGATATCTTTAGTGCCTTAACTCCTCCCCAGATTACTCAGCACTTATTAACATTCAAGGCCATCTTGTCGCCTAGGTGAGAGCAAAGTGTGATGGTTTAGGTTAAGTTCCCCACTATTGTGGGTTGGCAGTTGCTGGTGTATATATTTGTATGCCTATCGGTATAGTTTGTTATAAGGGAGGATACTCTAGGTATCAGTCTAGGAGGCCAAGAGGGGATATTTTCATGCCGGTATCAGCTCTAGGTTGGGTCTCGGTTTCCTGTGTATTTTACACCTGTGATTACAGTGGGTGTGCGTATTGATAAGCCCCATTTACGAGCTCGTCAGAGTCGGTCGTTGGGGTTCAGTCCAATATCCAGTCTCGGGAAAGGGTCAGGAGGTAGGGGACCTAGGAGGGAGGAGTAGCCGGGTGGCTTAGCTCTGTATGAGTCGGTTAACTGCGGGCCTCTGGGGGGCCGTGTTTGGGTTTGCTAATCTGTTGGCTAGGTATGTTTCCCAAAGGTACCAGGTCAGTGCACATTGCTCCTGTCTACCGTGGAAGTCTGCAGTTAAGGATTCCATTGAGTGGATCTCTTCCACCCTTGTCACCCATTGCTGGAGGGTAGGCGCTCCCCTCTGTTTCCACATCACAGGGATAAGGGCCTTTGCCGCGTTGAGTAGTGGCAGCAAGAGGGATTTCTTATATGTCTTAACGGGTGTGGGGGTGTGGTGTAATAGCATCGTTAGGGGTTCTAGGGTTAGCTCCGCACCTGTGATTCTGTTTATCTCTACCCTGATCCTCTCCCAGAATGTGGTAATCTCGGGGCACTGCCACCAGATGTGGAAGTACGTGCCGGTATGCAAGCCGCATCTCCAGCAGGTGTCCGGGGCACCTACGTTCATGCGATTGAGTACGTCTGGGGTTCTGTACCAGCGTGTTAAAATTTTGTAGTTCAGCTCCTGGTACTTGGAGCTGATAGAGCATTTATGTGTGAGAGTGTAAATCTTGTCCCAGTCTTGCACAGTAAGGACTTCCCCCGAGTGCGAAAGCTTTTAAACAGAACTAAAATACAATTCTTCCCATTTCCTCACCTGAAATCAAATACAATAATGTGATAACCTCACATCACATGCAAAAATCAGTCCAAAAAAACATCTTAATCAATAAAATTGTAAAACACCTGCATGCACTGGCAAAACGTCAGTGGTCGCAGATACGACCGGGCCCGTTGTTCCAATGGATCCGGCCGCCCTGACTCATTCAAAGTATTCCCTGTTACACAAAATTATTACAAAATATTCTCTGTGTGCACAAGTTGCCATACACTTGAGTTTCTCCTAATTGCAGATACTACTAGAACCCCTGGCATACTGGCTGATGTGTCCAGGTACAGTCTACCGAAATTGATGCATCACTTCCTTGAAAAAGATTTTAGGGGAGAAAACATTTTAGCAGCTACGGCAGCTTTACCACCGTCTGCAAACTCATCGGTTTCTAGGGATAAGTGGAAAAATTAAGTGGGAGCTGGATTAAGTCTGGACAAATGGGGAGATGTCAATCTCTTGTTGAACAAGGAAACAAGGGGTACACTGACTGTACATGGATAATACGGCAAGGCCATCACACTGCTGGAAACATTGTTTTAAGTAGAGATTGTAGTCATTACGGTTAACCACAGCCTTTGATAAGAAAAACTAAAATAAACCCAAAACAAACAAATAAAAAAAAATATTTTTTTTAAAAAGCATGAAACGTTCTAGTTTGTTTAAAAGAGTACAACAGGCAAATTGGGAAGTAGTCCTGTCTGACCAATTATTGCAGCTGTGCCAAACCATCCCCACAATTTAATATTTTTGATTAAAAAAAAAAAATACTTTGAGAAATATTAATTAAAAAAAAACAAAACAAAAAAAACTATTATTTTACTATATGGGAGTAAAAAAAAAAATAAAAAAATAAAAATATATATATATATATATATTTTAACGTTTATCCAAAAATAGTAAATAATCCAAAAAGGCCAAAATGAGCAGTCCATGCCAGATACAAAAAGTGCAAGTTTACTTAATGCAAACAGCAACCCGAAATCCGTAGATTTTCTATAAAGTCAAACCCTGAAGCCAGTTGTATATTTTAACATATCGGTTCCAGCTTATTTCAAGGCTTGTGACTGAGCGACACCATGAGACGCTTTACAACAATAAGAAAAGCGAATATGTGATTCAGAATCAATATCCTTCTGGAGATCCAGTCTCCAGTACTGCGTACAATACTCCAAGTGAGGTCTCACCAGTGTTCTGTACAATGGCATGAGCACTTCCCTCTTTCTACTGCTAATACCTCTCCCTATAGTGTACAATGTATCATATTACAACCTCAATGTAACATGGTTGGATAAGCTATTCAAATGATTTAATACATTTTAAATAAACTGTTAAATGAAGGCTTATGTTTGAAAAAAAAAATTTATACCACCATCTAGTGGCTTTGTTGGAGAACTACAGAATTTTATTTTAAAGTGGTTACATTTATTTACATACCACCATGTGCATTTTAAAATCTTGAGGAGAGGATTCCTACACTTGACTGAATATGCGTTTCACGTGGATTAAAATAAAATACTTGTGATAGTAAAATTCTTTATGGTATCGTTTCTATGAGTCATTTTGCTGTCTTGGTAAGAACCCGATTAGAAGGGTGCCACAATTCGAGGGACATTTTAGCAAGAACATGTATAATCTTTTTAGACTAAACAAAAATAAATCAGTGACAAAATACACGCTAAGTTTCGATGTGTTCTTTGTTGCATATTGAGGAAATAAAAATATTTTAAAATGAACAGAATTACAGGTGTAAATTCCATGGTTTGATTGTGAGCTAACCTCATCTAGCGAAATAATGAGCAGATTTAATTAATTTTTTTCCATAATATTTCTAGCTGCGCCATCATATTAGCTTATTAGCTCTTCCAAAACTTGTATTATTGTATAGATTTTAAACTGCAGCCCTGCCCGTATATTTATGATTTTATAAAGTTTTAAAATTGCATTGCTAGAATGGCTATCCAACTCTGTCCAATCTAATTCTGGGATTTTTCATTATTTATTGCTGCGGAGTTAACCCGTGCTATTCCAAAATTCTCTTGTCATTCTAGTTGAAATAATTTCTAGATCTTACATGATTCTTTAAAAGCAAAACAAAGTACACATTCCTCATTCTGTCCATCAAACATTAGGAGAGAGAGACTATGTGGGCACCATAACCATTTTATTGTCGTACAATACCATAAACCCAGGCCAACGTTAAAATACATATTGGTATAAAACAACATTGGTAACATCCAGAGGGGGTATACAAAGCATAGTGTTTCCGTCCACTTTAATATAGAAATATAGGAGTGACCATCACTACTATCATACATGGTGATTTAAAAAAAATAAAAAAATAAAAATAAAAAAATTAAAAAAAAAACACAAAATTGGAGAGGGGAAGACAATGGAAGAGAACTGTCAAAGATGGAGAGTAAGTGGATTTTTAATATGCATACATTATCTCCAAATGGTCTTAATTTAGACTTTGAATTTGTACATTTTATATAATATGCATTTTTCTATATAGAAGCTTTATTTTGAACCCTTTTTAATGCATATCAATAATATCTATTATTTGTCATACTCTTTTCACTGTAAAATATTACTTATTTTGAGTTTTAATTATGTTCTTATTTTGTATTGCAGGAATTAATGTTTTTATTATGTATTTTATATTATTACGTCTTGTGTTATAATTGGACTATAAGGATGTTACAATGCGCCGATTTGCGCAATGACACCAAGAAGGAATGCGGACTGATTATCCTCATGAAGTTACCATCGCCTTAGTAATTGAAAAAGACTCTGCGTTCCAGCTGTCAACACTGCGTCCCAACCACGCGTTGTTACGGTGGCGTCAGCGGAAATGACGTCAGGGACCTGGAAACATCATCGCGGCAGTGGAATTATGGGAATATTGGACACAGATGCACAGCACAGTGAGAGATATAAAAGGAGACTTACAGCACTTGAAGAAGGCTTTTGGACTCGAAACGCGTTAGCTATTTATACTTTTTACTAATCACTTGGTGGATAACTGATCTCAGTGGTGAGAGTGACTTTGCCAGTAGGTTTCACAACTACCTGAGTTTGGAGTCTTTTAAAGTTTATGTATCCTGGAATAAAAGTTTTTATTTTGCCAAGCATCTGATGTCCAGACTCCTGCTGTGATAACAAAGAGGAGTTAGGCGCTCTCTAAATAAACTAAAGGTGGGCAGCAGTGAACCAAGCAGGAATTCCCAATACCTGCTCACAGTAGTAAAACAGAAGAGACAAAAGTGGTAAACCGCGCCCAAACAGTGCAAATAATAATTAAAATATATACATACAGAGAGTCCTCTAATTAGGAATGTATAAAACCTTCAAGACAAAAAAGTACAGAACAATAATAGTGCAATATGTCAAGTGAAATAAGAGTATATAAAAGCTTATAAAAGACTCACACTTTGCAGAGCTACTCAGAGCTCTGCCGTATAGCGCCTAGACGGTATAATCCCCGTCTCAGGATATCAAGTGATGGTATAATGCGGTATCCAATCCTCCACAGTGGTATATGGAAAGATAAAAATAGAAATAAAATCCAATAGTGTAGTATATCTATTAAAAAGTGTGCAAATTATTACAATATTACAAAAGTGTGCAAATTATTATAATACCGCATTATACCATCACTTGATATCCTGAGACGGGGATTATACCGTCTAGGCGCTATACGGCAGAGCTCTGAGTAGCTCTGCAAAGTGTGAGTGAGTCTTTTATAAGCTTTTATATACTCTTATTTCACTTGACATATTGCACTATTATTGTTCTGTACTTTTTTGTCTTGAAGGTTTTATACATTCCTAATTAGAGGACTCTCTGTATGTATATATTTTAATTATTTGCACTGTTTGGGCGCGGTTTACCACTTTTGTCTCTTCTGTTTTCCTGCTGTGATAACATGGACCCTGGAGCCAGTATTGGCACCCTTGAGCCTGCAATACAGAGCCTGGGACGGCTCTGGGCCATGTGTGAGCGGTAGTCCTATTTTCATATCCCACGCTTTATATTTTTAATACAGTACACACTATGTTGTTTTAATTTTGTTTTAGGTATTCTGCGATATCCCAGTGGATTCTAGTGATATGCTTGTATTTTTATACCATGCACTTTAATACTGGTGACTATGTACACTGATATCGTGTTAGATTTAGATTGGTCACTTTGTGTTTGTTTGGGGAAGCAGTTTATATATCAGTTACATGATAAGTTTTACGGACCTCACTTCTATTATCAGAATTTGAAGAAGTGCCTTTACACACTTTTAGAACATTAAAATAGAATATCCAGGCAGGATAAAATGATTGCAGAGTAACACGGCACCGCCAATTATTCCATGAGATCTACGTTACCCAATATCATAAAGCGACAGTCTTATTATCATAGCCTGTAGAACAATTACCTCCTCAGTTAATATTTCAGGTTTAGTTCCAAGAAAGTAATCTTGATTTCTCCAAAGAAGCAAATGTATTCAGAATTATTATTTTTTGCGTGATTGTGCTTATAGCAAGAAGACAGGGCGATTATTTCATTCTTTACAAAATGTTGTTTTCATTTTCCAAAAGTGGATTGCATTTATTTTTTATTTTTTTAAATTAAACCACTTCTTTCTCAGCTCCAAAGAAAGAACAATTTTGAATGTGTGTTCATGTTTGGATTATGTATATTGAATTTTCAGCCATCCGATTAACACAGGAATAAGATTTTCATGTGTGTATAAAAGAGAGAGTACACACACACACACACACACTCTATCTCTGCAAATAATATTTACACAACATGTTGTAAAGTGATGTTTTTTTACAGCAATCAAAGTGGATCAAATCAATTTGGATTGCATCAATTGCAATGATTATTTTAGATGAATTATAAAATTGTACCTGATTCCAATGACATGGAAGGAAGAACCAGCAGCAATTTCTATGAACCTAGTTATTAGACGTTTCAAAATTAAAATCACTATTTACAGATATAAAGCAGGCATTAGCTCAGCACCTCCGGGAGTAACTGTGTGATGGACTGCAAAATCATTCAATTCTAATTCACATGGTTTGAATGGATCTTTGATTAGAGAATGATTTAAAATAGATTTTATCAAACCACATGGATTGGAATTTCATTACTCATCGTAGGGCTTTTAATTGGCATCACAGCAAAGTTACACCAAAATTGATGTTCACTAACTGGCGTAACTTTGGTGCAACGCCAATTAATAAAGGGTTTCAGCAGTAGAGCAAGCGCTACAAAGGAAAATATAGAAACCGGGGCCCTATTTAACTAAACAGTGTCAGGGTTTCTCGATCTCAAAAACAAACAAAAATCCCACCACCTTTTACTAGAGTAAACGCTACTCATAGTGAGAACAGGCATAGAGCGATCACCAGACTAGAGCGGTCAGTAAATTCTCTTTTTCAGAATTAAAAGAGAGCGATATGCTGTGACAGTGAAAGCAAAATAAAGTTGTACATACTCCGCCTATAATAAGAGAGACCAGATCAGCTCACATCCCACAAAACAAGAAAATAAAACTAAAAACCACCAAAAAGACGTTCGGTGAGTGTACTCTGCTCTCTTTACACCCCATCTGCAGTGTGACGAAGCGGAACAATGAAACGGGGTTGGTGGTTCATGCTACACCCAGGCTACTCGGCCCTGACTGGGTTAATCTCAGTAACACTATAATATACATAGCCCAGCGAGGACCTACTGAATGTCCAGTCTCGGAAGAAGCAAGATCTGCCCATCAATGCACTGTGATTGGTTGGCTTCTAAGTCAACCAGCCAATCACAGAGCTCCGACTTAGCAGTAATTCCTGAAGACGCGGAGCCCTCGATGGTACGAATACTTCCTGCAAACAGTAACAAAGTGTCCATGTCCATGTAATAATGGAAAGGCCTAGCTACCGCCTGCTTATTATTTAAACTCTATTGTCGTACTTTGACACGAACTGTGGTAGCAAATCAGACCCACTGACAGACCAGTTCTACTCAGAAGTCAGCTTACTACATGAGACTATTAAAATCACAGATCTTTAAATTAATTTCTGATTTTAGCAGCAGTGCAGCTATTTACTCAGACTGACGCGATAGTGTGGACTTCTGAGAACAGGAAAGGCCAAAAATGTTTTCAACCTCTGAGTAAGTGTACAAGTTTAAAGAGAAGAGCCCCATGAGCTGCTCCAGTACTTATAACTCGATTACATTTATATGATCCCAGAGAGACAGAACCTTGCACTGTCTGTATCAGAATCACAGATCTCCCAGCTATTGCAACCATTGAGTTAGTGACACAAGGGAGTTTACATTCCACACCCATGGAGGTTACACGAAAACAGAAATACTGATGGGAAATGTTGTGCAAACCAAAGATTACAAAATCAGTGTTACATTTGTGAGTGATTACCAACTCCTTATTTATTAGGCTCTGTCTATAGCTGCTGTGACTGTCTTACAGTCGGGTTAATCGAGAATTGTCAGATATTGGTTTGGTTTCAGCTCTGCACCAGGTGTACGGTGTACCTACCCTTTACATTATATTTTAGGGAAGATACTGTAAATGCAGTAGTTACACGTATACAGGGGGTGTATATGGAGTATATATAGGGGTTTCCTGCACTTTATGGACATGTGATTTGTACAAATTAGACTAGGAGGAAGAAACCGACAAATTAACGGATTGGTCATTATCAGAGTAAGGCCTCATTATCAGCATTACGAGTGTAGCAAGGCTAGTATTATCCAGAGTCATCCTGGATCTGTGAATGTAAAAATGACAGAGATGCCCCCAGTGCCACATACCCTCCCACATCCTGCTTGCACTACAGCCCGGCACCAATCTCGAACCCCCAAACCAAGCCCTATATTGTGATAATCCATAAAGCAAATACAGGGCAACTACTGGTCCAAATGCTATTGCCACAGGCTATATAGTGGCACTATCCATGCTTACACTAGAATACAGCATTGGGAGGACTTTGTGTGAAAAGATAAGAAGTTCAATCTCCTTAAAGGGACACACCAATCACCAATATTAGTCGCTGAGCCTTATTGTAGTGGTTATAGTGCAAGGATACGGTAAGTGCATTCACTGTCAAACTGAATCCATTTGGTTAACTAGCAGTTACAGGATACTAATCCGATTCAACCACATTGTCATGGTGACCAATTCAATCATTTAATGTCAGGATTACAAGAATGAAAATAAAGAAGATAAATGCGCTAACCAGATAGTTACAAATTCACGTAATTTAAACGTAACCCCCTTAGTGTTTGAGTTAATGATGTAGATTCCAACTGCAACTCCTATAAGGCAAGGTCACTTAGCCAATCGTATCGGTATAGTATCAGGCCGACAGGATCATAGAATTAATAGAATTATAATGATAGAAGTATCAAGGGACAGCCTGAAACATTGCAATGGTGGAAATGGTGGTACATTAGGCCAGTTAGTAAAGAACATATTGGTGTAACTTAGATACCCTCCCTCCCCCAACAAAAATGATCAGGTTTGAGCCAGTTAGTGAATGGATCAGTAATTGGGTTAGTTGTGTGCACACCCACATGGTGACTATTATATTTTGCTTGTCCTTGCATTTGGAAATCATTTGATAACCCCCCAAAAATAAAGAATGAAAACATACTGGGATTGTTTGACCTGGGTATCTAAAATAACGTCAAAATAAACAGAGCATCCTTTTAACTTAAAGGGACACTATAGTCACCAAAACAACTTAAAATTACCCTATAAAGTTTGCACTATGATTTGTATTTTTATATTTTCTATTTAAAGGGATATACGGATATTATTGACAACTTTTAAACAAAAACAAAAAAACTATCTTAAAACGTATACCCCTTCATTTCTGGGCATTTTGCAACATCACCATTAACTGTTTTCTATCAAGTATCACAGAGACAGCGCTTCACAGAGACACTCCTTTTCCTTTACTATAAAGTATCGGTTGTTGGACCATCGAACGTGCACTTAAACATTTACAGATACAATTTGTGAAGAACGAAAAATACTTTCAGTATACACCATATTTTTGGTAGCCACACTGTTTTATAGTCCATGAAATATAGATTTGAGTCTTTTCGTTCTTTCACCTTTGTATATCTACAAATTTCAATTAAAAAAATTGCAATTGAAAAAATAATTGTATAAACTCACAGTTTCCACAGGAAGAATGACTCTCTCTTCCACTCCAAATGAAAGAGATTTGAATGGCACCTTTGCCAAGCCATCTGCGTCTTCTGGTTTTTGACCCTGGAATACATAAAACAAATAAAGATCTGGTTGGCTGGCGATGAGACTTTGCACTGTATCCCAGGTGCTTGAATTCCAATATGTGTTAAATTAGCTTAATTCTGAAAGCTAGGAAAATGGACATTACTGATCACTCGAAAACACACCCACATGTACTACTACTACTTACCTGAACCTATCCCTCGCGGGTGTTGCCATGCTTTTCCCGGTGGCGCTTTTCTGCTCCTGGTATTTCAGTTGCCAGGAGCCAATGTCGCCGCTGTAGTCTCGCGCATTCCACAGAATCCTTCATAGATAGAACCGATTTTCCTGCAGCCGGTGCTGGTAATTGACATTTATTGATAGTGGTAGGTAAAATATTGAGACAAAGTAATCCTTACTTTGTCTCAGTATATTTCCTGACTGTCGTGAGTACTTAATAAAGATTCTACCTCTATGAAAGTCATTTTGAAGGGCGGGGGGCAGTGACAGTGTCAATTTATGTAGCTAGTCCCTCTTCCAGTCTGTATTAAACAGAACATGGAAAATTATTTATATTCTAAAGTAAAAGTTATTTATAGTATTTATCAGAGTAATACCGCGGTAGGCAACCTTCTGCACTCCAGATGTTGTGGACTACATGTCCCATAATGCTTTGCAAAGCATCAGGAGTGATGTGGTGAGCTGAAGGGTGTCTATCCCTGGTTTAGTAAATAGTAAACTTTGATTGCAAGAGGGCTACATGATAAAAAGAATCATAAACAGAATTAAAGAAAGGATACCTCTAGGTGGGCTATGAGTTCTGGATCCCATTTTCTGATGCAGTGGAAGCGACACTTGTCTGTATTATTTGTGTTTCTGACTGAACTCAGCTTAATTTTATGAGTTCTCTCACTGGAGTCTTCCACCGCCAGGACTACACGTTTACCTAGAAAATCAAATAAAGTAATTAAAGAACTTAAGGAATCTCAAACTGAACAACCGCTTAACAGTAAATAAGGCCACAGACACTGTGGCCTGTCTCTCCAGAGCTGACCACGCACATTATCTAGATAGTTTTAATGGCAATTAATAAATAAACAAAAGTATCCAAGACTTGACTTATCTTCCTGGTTTGCAGCAACTCTCCGTCTTTGACCTGAACCCCTTTAACCCAAAAGAAGTGGATAATTAATTTCATTATACTTCGGGTTATTCACTTAAGGGAGAATTCAAATTCAAAATGGACGAACTGGAGATAATCTACAAGAGAGCTCTGTTTCTAGTTCAGCTCCTTGGGTCCATGGTCCACAGAGTAGCTATTCATTAATGAAGCTACGAGGACTCAAACAGATACTGGTCCTTATAAAATAAGCGGTTAGTTCCAGTACTATGTATGTTAATGTAATAGAACTGGAGGTGTTCGTACTAGTGACAGCATCCACATGTACAAAACACATTAAGTTTTTTGGTTTTTGTTCCTCTACCCCTCAGTGGGTCTGCCTGTGCCATTTTAAAATATTTCTATAATGAAGAGGATCCAGTTTTCCTCTATTTTAAGAATACCGTGGAGTGGCATCGACCCTGATCTGAGGTTTGGCCCTCGGTGCAGTTTGTATTTGAAAAGTATTAAAACAGGCTTTTGGTGACCCTAATTTTCAAGAATAAATAGAAAATAAAAATAAGTAAAAATGGAAGCACAGCCTTGAGAGGCCGGGCACGGAGCTGGTAAGCAAGTTTATGAACGAAGATCAAGCCTGGTGCTGCTATGTACCTCTAGAGCAGGGGTTCTCAACCTTGCCCTCAAGGACCCCCTACCAGTCCAGGGTTTAGGGATTACCTGGGTGTGTCTAAGGTGTTTAGAAAAAGAAAAAAAAAACACCTTAGAGTCTAAGGTTTTTTTTTCTGGTAGGGGGTCCCGAGGACTGGGTTGAGAACCCCTGCTCTAGAGGAATATGGGGGAGGCAAAAAAAAAGGGAAGATAAAGATTTAATCAGTTATTAATAGGTTTAAATACCTTGTACATTTTCTGGGATATTTTTCATGTCAATGCAAACATCTAGACAGGACACAGCTCGCGACTACAGAGAAAAGAAAACAATTTGTTAAAAAAAAATAAAAAAAAATAATCAATCTACATGATGTGTCAGGACCAATAACAGAGTAATACAGGGAATTAGCGGTGTACCCAGATAAAGTAAGCCGAGGAAGAGATAGGTTTTTAGAGATTGATAAAACAATTAGAAACTCAGGGAAAGGGTAACAGAACACGGAAGGCGTGTTCGGACGGTAGCTGCTGTCCTGAATAGACATGTGCAATTCATTTCGTTCCGAATGTCAATTCGGATGAATTTCGGGCAATTCGGACATTCGGATACTGCCGAATGTCCGAATCGCGATGCTCCAAAGTTCTGACAGTGCCGAAATTCTGTAGCACTAATAAACAGTTGCAAGAAAAAGTATGTGAACCCTTTGGAATGATATGGATTTCTGCACAAATTGGTCATAAAATGTGATCTGATGATCATCTAAGTCACAACAATAGACAATCACAGTCTGCTTAAACTAATAACACACAAAGAATGAAATTTTGCCATGTTTTTATTGAACACACCATGTAAACATTCACAGTGCAGGTGGAAAAAGTATGTGAACCCCTAGACTAATGACATCTCCAAGAGCTAATTGGAGTGAGATGTCAGCCAACTGGAGTCCAATCAATGAGATGAGATTGGAGGTGTTGGTTACAGCTGCCCTGCCCTATAAAAACACACACACCAGTTCTGGGTTTGCTTTTCACAAGAAGCATTGCGTGATGTGAATGATGCCTTGCACAAATGAGCTCTCAGAAGACCTACAATTAAGATTTGTTGACTTGCATAAAACTGGAAAGGGTTATAAAAGTATCTCCAAAAGCCTTGCTGTTCATCAGTCCACGGTAAGACAAATTGTCTATGAATGGAGAAAGTTCAGCACTGCTGCTACTCTCCCTAGGAGTAGCCGTCCTGTAAAGAGGACTGAAAGAGCACAGCGCAGACTGCTCAATGAGGTGAAGAAGAATCCTAGAGTGTCAGCTAAAGACTTACAAAAGTCACTGGCAAATGCTAACATCCCTGTTAGCGAATCTACAATACGTAAAACACTAAACAAGAATGGATTTCATAGGAGGATATCACAGAGGAAGCCACTGCTGTCCAAACAAAACATTGCTGCACGTTTACAGTTTGCACAAGAGCACCTGGATGTTCCACAGCAGTACTGGCAAAATATTCTGTGGACAGATGAAACCAAAATTGAGTTGTTTGGAAGAAACACACAACACTATGTGTGGCGAAAAAAAGGCACAGCACACCAGCATCAAAACCTCATCCCAACTGTGAAGTATGGTGGTGGGGGCATCATGGTTTGGGGCTGCTTTGCTGCGATCATCGAAGGAAAAATGAATTCCCAAGTTTATCAAGACATTTTGCAGGAGAACTTAAGGCCATCTGTCTACCAGCTGAAGCTCAACAGAAGATGGGTGTTGCAACAGGACAATGACCCAAAGCATAGAAGTAAATCAACAACAGAATGGCTTGAACAGAAGAAAATACGCCTTCTGAAGTGGCCCAGTCAGAGTCCTGACCCCAACCCGATTGAGATGCTGTGGCATGACCTCAAGAAAGCGATTCACACCAGACATCCCAAGAATATTGCTGAACTGAAACTGAACTAAGTAACTTACATTTTATATGAATGTGTTACTTGATTGTTGTAAGTGTTGCAAATGCTTACAGCTGAATACTGGCTATGTTTGTATACTTTTTTATTTAAACTGGTATACAGTGTAACATTCTTCATACTTCCACTGGCTATATTAGCACTTCGGAACTTCAGCGGTTTTGGAACTTTGGCAATTCAGCTATTCGGAAGTATCCAAATTGCCTGAAATTGACATTCGGAACGAAACGAATTGCACGTCTATTCTGTGTTAATTAAATCAAGAAAATACACTGAATACTTACAACAAGGACACCATTAGTTAGAAGTTTTTCTGGCTGTGCTGATCTGAAAGGAACAAACAAAATACAGGACAGTCAGTCCATGAAGTAGTGATAACAGAATATTTATTGCTGCAACTTTAGTTTATTTACTGAACTGCCAAATATTACACAACTGAGTGATTTTTTAAAATGTTGCCATTTAGCATTTTATTTATACTTTTTTGTTTTAGATGAAATTTATCACAATTAAATGCAAACAAACTATGCATTGCGTACTATCAGCTCGTTTTATTCATGGCTGGAAAAATGCAATGTCGAAAAAGATGTGAGGTCCTTGAGGACACAACTTCTGGAATAAAAGGGAATCATGACGGAATCTTGCCGTCATGTGTCCTTAAATACGTTTACCAATCTACCTGTAATCAGTGAATCTATATTAACAAAACAAAAGCGATAAAGTCACTCCATGTCAGAACAGACTTGCTGGGTTCTGTACTAACATGGCACTGCGGTAAACTCCAGGAAAAATAGACATGGACATAGAAGTCTAGATATTACTTACAGCTTTTGCACTGTGAATTCAACTTCAAGAGTCTCTTTTCCCTTCTGAAACAAAATATCAAACAATTAAATCAATCTCAAATGTATTAAACTAAGTTTGCAGAAGTAATAGATGTGCTTCAAACCTGCAGTGTTATTCGCTAAGTTATGAACATTCAGGAACTGATCAGCAAATGTCAGAATTGTGGCCAAACAGCAGAACTGCAAACTCTTTCAAATTTATAGAACGCTTTCCAATCTTCCTTAAAAATGGTTAAACTATGCATTAATCTAGAACTGTAATAATTAGAGAATAAGTCAGATTAGCTAAATGTTAGCCAGATCCAGCCATGTCCATATCCGTTTCCAAATAGTATTTTGCCCCAGGACAGCTTAATAATTGTTATTCACAAAAGTTCTCCAAGTCAGCTGGGCTTCCAATTTGTCCACTATGGCCTGAAGTTTTAAATTCACTTTCCATTCCTGAACATTCTCATTCTTTAGGAAGTACAATTTAAAAAAAAAAATGAAAGTCCTCCTGAAATATGGTTAATTTTTTTTTATTGTGTAAAAAACATTGAGAAATGTATTTAATTATACCATAACAGGATAGAAATTAAAGAGGTGGATAACTTGGGAAGAAAGTAATATTATAACTTAGAAAGGGTTTTTAACTCATTTTATATTTATTTTCAGAGTTTTTGGGGGAAATTAAATTTGTCTATAGTCTACATGCATATTTGAATGTGTAAATACATTTGAAAGCATGGTTCTGATCTGGAAACAAGCTACATTTAATTGTACTATAAATCACATAAATGAAAAAAGTATCGTATCAGAAGAATATTTTTCTCTAAAAATACATAAAGTTGAAATTTGGAATCTTACTTCAGGATTCAGAGGAAAGGTTTTCTTTATCGGTTTTCCAACATCCAGGTTTTCCACATCAACCGCAACAGTGTAAAGCAAATCATTTTTCGAAACTGTGTCTTCATCGTGAAGTGCCAGGTACAACATATTCTAAAATCACAAAAGCATTATTCATCCCGTAACAGACCTGCGCACGTAGTAAAAACAAACTGTAGAAAGCGACTTTTATTGTCAAAGTAGTATTTAAACGGACACACAACTGCCCAAACACAAAATACATATACCCCCCAATAAAAAAGCATGCTTTAATCAGGCATTTTTCATTGGGGATATATCTAAAAACAGCTTGTAAAAGATACAGTGATCTTGTCTGCAGCCTTCTCAAGCCCTCCCCTTCTAGCCACGCCCAGACTTTCTGTGGCTGTCCAATCACAAACTTCCCAATGCAGCTCAATAAGAAGTCTTTGCAAGGCAGAAGCTCTTGGCAATTGCCACCTCTTGAGTTTATCTCCACTGAGCTAAACAAACCAGGAAGTAACGGGACCGGGTGCCTGATTGACAGCTGGAGGGTGTATCCAGGCTAATTTAGAAAAGTGCCAATTTCTATAAAAATTTGTTTTTGTTGTTTTTTTTACAAAATTTTAGAAGGACACACTCTTCTCACATAAAACAAATTAAAGTGCTGTTTCTGGAGTCTGAAGTATCCCTTTAATTCTCACAAAGAATGGTGAGATTGAGGTGAATACCTTGACATTATCGCAGATCTTAAAGTGAAAGGTCTCATTCCACCGGGGTTCACTGCTGTTGGATATAGTTTTGGTTTCCAAGATTTTATTTGTGGACGATGGGAGCCAGAGGGATACGTAACAGTCAGCATTAGTTGCTGTACAGGGAAAACAAGCATTAAAACCATGGCATACAATAGTTTCATGAGGGGAAAATGAGGGGGGAAAATGAGGAGGGGAAAATGAGGGGGGAAAATGAGGGGGAAAATGAGGGGAAAATGAGGGAAAATGAGGGGGGAAAAATGAGGGGGGAAATAAGGGGGGGAAATGAGGGGGGGAAAATGAGGGGGGGAAAATGAGGGGTGGGGGAAAAATGAGGGGAATCTTATTCATAAAATTGAAGTGCTATACATAGAACACAAGTGTGATGGGTCCCCTGTGCCCCAACTGAGCACAACCGTCCGAACAGTTTCTCCCCACCGCCAAACCACAGATGTCAGCCCGTTCACGAAGACTGTCAGCTAATACCTCACCCCCAAGAATAGCAGACACACTGCTGTTGGATATAGTTTTGGTTTCCAAGATTTTATTTTTGTGGACGCATGGGAGCTTGCCAGAGGGATTGACGTAACAGTCAGCATTAGTTGCTAAAAATAGGAAAACAAGCAATAAAACCACATGGCATAGCCAATAGCTCTGGCATGAGGGGAAAAGGAGGGGGGAAAAGGAGGGGGGGAAAGGGAGGGGGGGAAAAAGGAGGGGAAAGGAGGGGGGAAAGGGAGGGGGGGGGAAAGTTGAGGGGAAAGGAGGGGGGAAAGAGGGGGGAAAGGAGGGGGAAAGGAGGGGCGAAAGGAGGGGGAAAAGGAGGGGGGGAAAGGAGGGGGGAAAGGAGGGGAAAGGAGGGGGGGGAAAGGAGGGGGGAAAATGAGTGGAAAATGAGGGGAAAATTAGGGAATCTATTCATAAACAGTGCTATACATAGAACACAAGTGTGATGGGTCCCCTGTGCCCCAACTGAGCACAACCGTCCGAACAGTTTCTCCCCACCGCCAAACCACAGATGTCAGCCCGTTCACGAAGACTGTCAGCTAATACCTCACCCCCAAGAATAGCAGACACACTGCTGTTGGATATAGTTTTGGTTTCCAAGATTTTATTTGTGGACGATGGGAGCCAGAGGGATACGTAACAGTCAGCATTAGTTGCTGTACAGGGAAAACAAGCATTAAAACCATGGCATACAATAGTTTCATGAGGGTAAAAAGAAGGGAAGAGGGAAAAAGAGGGGTAAAGAAGGGGAAAAGGAAGGGGAAAGAGGGGGAAAATCTGGAAATCTATTCATAAACAGTGCTATACATAGAACACAAGTGTGATGGGTCCCCTGTGCCCCAACTGAGCACAACCATCCGAACAGTTTCTCCCCACAGCCAAACCACAGATGTCAGCCCGTTCACGAAGACTGTCAGCTAATAGGGGGAAAAGAGGGGGAAAAGAGGGGGAAAAGAGGGGGAAAAGAGGAGGAAAAGAGGAGGAAACGAAGGGGAAACAAAGGGGAAACGAAGGGGAAAAGAAGGGGAAAAGGAGAAAGGGGGGAGGGAAGGGGGGAAAAGAAGGGGAAAAGAAGGGGAAAAGAAGGGGAAAAATGAGGGGGGGAAAGAGGGGAAAAGAGGGAGAGACACAAAAACAAACAGAGGAAGTGGGTGACCTTCTACATGCTGTACAATGGGACTACTTACTCCAGTCTGCCCAAGGGATATTTTTGGCCTGGATAACTGTGACTGATAGCCTGCTATGTGTGCTTTCCTCCTGTAATATAAACATATAATATAATTCAAGAGCAGAGTTATTAAGTTAAAACACTGATTGCTCTCAATCCTTGCAGACCATCACTGTTTATTTAATTGTAAGCCATATAAAATTAAATCAAATTCCTTCAGTTATTTTTAACTTATACGAGGAAATGGCTTTGAACAAGACTTTCAAAACCGGTTTATTAGAAATTAATGAGAGTTTCCTTTAGGGCAACAGTGACTGTACCAAATGTATTCCAAATGTGAAGATGGTAAACAAGGGAGGATTAACACGTGACATGACTTTTCTAATTACACACTTTGTTATCCTCACACGTGCCAGGTGAAGAATTCAGGAACGTTGTTAAAAGAATGGAAGTCTAGGACAACGATCCAACCGCCAATTAGGAGAGGTGCTCAGATTATACAAAATAAACTCAATACTTCAGCATGTTAATCCTAAAATAATGACTATTACGGTTTCTCCAATAATTCTCAACTCGTAACAATAACACAAACATAGAACAGTCTGCGTCACAAACTAACGGTTAGAAATAATATGGCCAATTAAAAAAATGGATGGGATAAACTTTTACAACAAAGATTTCTCCTGGAACTAGCTGTAGCTGAACAAGACAGACGGGTAACCAAATTTAATTTACGTTTTTTAATGTGTCGATTTACTATTAATATTACTATGCTTTTTATTCTACTGCAAAATCTCCGCTAAAGATATGAGGACTTAAAACTAGTCTCAATAAATAAAACGTTAACCCAACCTATGAAACGGATTCTAAGCAAAGGTTTAATAACTTCCTTAAAAATTAAGCAGAATGGTAAAGGAGGACCTTTTAATGCATTATATAGATCCATGTAACAACTTAATCACTGAGCTTTTTGTGGTCCAAGCGAGACTCCATGCTCCCCCTTTACACACAGGGATTGCAAGTGAGAGGGAGGCTTACAGGTGAATCTCATCACTGTCCAAATTAAACCAAGAGCCCCAACCACTAATTTTAAGAAACGGAAAATGTTCCTTTTTCATCATTATATTGTATATCAGGATGAACTGGACACGTGGCCTCATCACTTACTGTGATTGTGAGTGATTAAAAGACATAGGGTTCATTATAGTACAGTTAGAAACCAAGGGTCTTCATTATATTGAGGGTCTGCACCCATCTCAGCAAAGATGCAGAATTACTTCCTTCACATGATCACGGTCAGTTTGGTTTAACCTGTCCAGCACTGATTGGCTAAGAATTCAGGGAGAACATGTCCGCAGCACTCTCAGCCAACCAACGCCCTCCAGCTTGGATGAAAGGGACAATGATTGGGTGGTTTGATATTAATCTTAGAGATGATGCCTGAGGACCATTACATCCCCAACCGAGACCCGGACGCATCATCCAAACTAAATCTCTCTGTTTGTGTGACTCGGGGCTATGTACCCTGCAATGTGCAGTGTGGTGGCAATGGTGATTCTGTAACGGAAAATACACACTGCTTTTTAATGTGCTCAGTCAGTGCAGGTCTACGCACTGCCGCATATTCAGAAGGGCAACTAGCGATCATGTGATAATCACCTCCATCGCTGTGCTGTATATTGCCAGATGTCAGACACACAAGTAATTAAGAGTGAGTAACGAGGTTAAATCGCTTGTCTGATCTCAGAGCCCTGCATGGAGGCTGTAACCCAACCATCTGCCCAATTCATTTGAACTAGATGGTCTCACAGGGAGAACATTGATTGGATAAGATCATCAAGATAGAGTATCTTAGCCAGGGAGGCGGGGACAGCCTCTGTGAGCTGCATGGCGCAGACTTAAGGATAGTAAAAATGTGCATTCCTAACACTACAATGTTCCTTTAACCCCTTAAGGACACATGACATGTGTGACATGTCAGGATTCCCTTTTATTCCAGAAGTTTGGTCCTTAAGGGGTTAAACAAAAACACATTTAAGTCCATGTACATAAAAAGCTATCACCGTTTACATTCTAAAAATAAAACATTCATAAGGAAAACACACGGATATCCCTGACTGCGTCCCTGTAAGAACTTCTCCCTATTAACTTCAGCGAGACAATTATTTACATAGCGCCATCATATTCCGCAGTGCTGTACAATAGGTAAAAGCAGACAAACTATTCTAACAAAACATGTTTGACTTACGGGAACATTAGATGAAAAGGTGTATGTCGTAATGAGCTTACAACCTAAAAAAAACAACCTTTCATATATCGAAATAAGGGATCAGGTTTTAAATGTGAAGCAACTCAGTTCTGGTTCCTAGGTTTTATTTGCCCTTTGAAGAATGTTCTATATGATCTAGAATTCCAAGCATTAAATGCATGGTGGCTTGTGTTATAATGTGAAATCCAATTGCTGCATCTACCACATCGAAAATCAGCAAATTAGGGTGTATTAAGAAAGATAATCTATATCTGTTTATCATTAGGCTAAATCTATTTTAGATCAAATGGATACGGTATATCAGTGTCTAAATGTTCTATAGAAAGTTAGGTTCCTTTATTTCAATGCGTGGATATATTAAACTGCCAGAGGGTCGTTACCTGGTGGGAGTGTTTGTCGGCCATTCTTGTGGTTAGAGAGATGTCAGTAAGCGAGGACTGATTAGGTTGCCAAACATAAAATAGAACGAGCAGGTACATTTATAAACCCTTTACCCCTCCCATGCCAGCGTTACAGGTACCAATTAAATAACACCCCTCCTTTCTTCCTTCAAAGAACACAGACAATTAATGGGAGGTAATATGCTTTGTATTTAATAATAGACTTGCAGATCTGAAAGATAGGATTTCAATGTGAAATTAGAAATTAAAACTTTATTTGTAAGGCCACAGCTAGATCTTCCAATAAAATCGAGCCGAGAAGGAAGTTGTTTTCCATCTTAAGGAAAAATTGTAAAATTTTAATTTCTTTATTACCGTCTTTTGAAACAACTGTTGAAACAGATGTGAAAGGCTGAATTTGATGGACTCTTTGTTTCAGCCTATATTATGATGCAACCATGTAAAAAAAACAAACAAACAGTATTAGGTCAAATCGTTATAAAATGTGCAATGTGAAAAATATCAAACATGCTAAAGTGACAAGGGCAGGCGCTGTGACACTGCTTCACGTGTGCAAGGCGCCCCATCTGACACTTATAGGGGTTTAATATTTAGCAGAATTTGTTTTGTTATTCATAACAGTTGAATATGGTCACCAACATAATTTGAAAACTAAAGAAACTCACCAAACCAACACCATGATTATGATTTTTATGCAAAAAAAAAAAAAAGGGGGGAGGGGGGGGGTATTACACCAAATAAAATAGTACCATTCTTTTATGCAATAACAATCTTACATACAGGATAACAATATTGGTGATTATATATGAAAATATTAAAGGTGTAATTTAAAGACCAATCCGTAATTTAAAGACCAATCCTAGCGTAATACGTAACAAATTCGTACTTCTAGGAATAGCCGAGTTATCAGCTGAACCTTGGACCCAGTCCTGAGTCACAAACACAGAAAGATTATGAAGTTTGGGTGATGGGTTCAGGTCTCGGTCTTGGTTGTAGTTACTACGCTGCCTGGAGTCCTGAGGCTCCATCTTTCAGTTTAAAGGACAACTATAGGCACCCAGACCACTTCAGCTCAATGAAGTGGTCTGGGTGCCAGGTCCATCTAGGGTTAACCCTGCCAGCTATAAACATAGTTTCAGAGAAACTGCTATGTTTGCATATGGATTAATCCAGCCTCTAGTGGCAGTCTCATTGACAGCCGCTAGAGGCGCTTCCACGCTTCTCACTGTGAAAGTCACAGTGAGAAGACGCCAACGTCCATAGGAAAGCATTGAGAATGCTTTCCTATGGACTGACTGAATGCGCGCGCGGCTCCTGCCGGGCATTCGGCAGAAGCGGGAGGAAAGTCCCCAGCGCCGAGAGAGCCTGGTGCTAAGCATTTAGCCCCGTCCTCCCCCTAGAGCCCGGCGGGAAGGGGCTATTAACATTATAGTGCCAGGAAAACAAGTTTGTTTTCCTGGCACTATAGTGGTCCTTTAATATTACACCATTTAAGGACCAAGAGACCAGCCGATCATTGCCAATTTAATCCATCCTGGAGGGCATGGTTGGCTGAGTGTGCTGTGAACATGTTACCCCTGTAATCTGAGCCAATCAGTGCTGGACAAATTAAACAATACTGACATGTGGAAGAATTAATTCTGCCTTTAATATATTTTTCCTGTGTTTTTCATACACAAAATACACAATGGCCTTAAATAACAGTCTGTTTCTTCTACCATTTTATTTGTGCCTATTAATACCTCCCAGGTACACCTTTCTCAAGTATGTGTAAAATGATAGGTTAAATTAGGCATGTCCATTTTAAACATCAGTCTTGGCGTTGGCAGATATCCCAGGACCCATGTTGACCCAATGCTACAAAATTACCCCATCATGGCATACCATTGGCAAGAGAACCTGGTATATATATCACTAGAATTACCTTGTTTGACAGACACGGCTATCACACAACCTGTGAGCCAAATTAACATTATTGCTGTATTCTCTCACAAGTGAGACAGGCAGCAATAAATAACCTTATACACACACCGATCTCAACATGTACAGGAATAAAAGACTTCCTCCAACCGTACGCCATGGGCCAATATAAGCTTCCTCCAGCCCCACGCCATGGGCCAATAAAAGCTTCCTCCAGCCCCACGCCATGGGCCAATAAAGGCTTCCTCCAGCCCCACGCCATGGGCCAATAAAGGCTTCCTCCAGCCCCACGCCATGGGCCAATAAAGGCATCCTCCAGCCCCACGCCATGGGCCAATAAAGGCTTCCTCCAGCCCCACGCCATGGGCCAATAAAGGCTTCCTCCAGCCCCACGCCATGGCCAGCTAATTAACATAGCGCAAGGCAGGTATCATTTATTCCTAACCAGTGCTAATGCCTTCATTATGCAGCTGTGTCATGGAGTGTATATTAATACAGTAATTAGACATGACACCAATAATAATAATAATAATAATATTCTTATTAGTTTCTATGACCCACAAAAAATACCTTTTCATACTTCGCTATTGTGGTGATTAAATGGACGCAGGTACAGAACTCCTGTATTCTAAAATAGTTTTGTGTTTCTAAGATTCTCCTAACAATAACAGAACTCTCTATTCTCAGACTGTGCTGGAAGGTAACGGAACTATACACACTTTCAAAATTAGAACCAGATTAGCCAAACTGAAAAAAAAAAAGCTTATTTACAAATTTTTTACAGTTTGGTTAACTTATATATTATATATTATAACTTAATATTTGGGAATTAATATATCGTATTAATATTTGGGAATATCGTATTAAATATTTGGAATTCCTATTTTTAAGTAATGACCATCAGTAAAATGTAGGTTTATTTGTTCTGTAAATGCGGTTTTAACCGATTTTGTGCTAAATAGGTTTTTATATTCGGAGGTTATTTTTTAGAGAGACTGTCCTATTTAATACGATATAATTTATTAAGTAGTTTTAGTCTGAGATCTACAAAGAATCACAGGATTTCGCAAAGCAAAATGCATTAAGCGGTTAAATCTTCACCTATTTATACATCAAGCTTCTTAAATAAAAATAAAAAAATATTGGTTTTGGGCCCATTATTATACTGCAGTGGTAAATATTAATTGGTAAATATTAATTGTTTTTAGTACTGAGATTTTTTTTTCCAAGTCTTCATATTTCTAGTAGAGAAGTAACTACATTGTTATAACTGGTATTTAATTTTATTAACTACAGATATATCATTTTCTGCTATTGAGAAATGTTAGATGTTATGAGAAGACTCGTCATACACTGCTCAGTAGGAGTTTATAGCAGTCATATGAAGAAGTAATGCATTGTCTACCTAATGTAATAAAACGATGACCCAGTACTAATGAGTAATATAGACTGTATAAATTGTGAGGATGTGAATGAGTTCGTTATGTCATATAGAAAGCTTGTGGCTTTGGCCAGAGTGAACCATTGCTGCCCTTTTCAATATGTGCATTGTTACATGAAAACCAGAGAAACTGGGCCAAACCAGTGATCTGCCAATTTTGAAACACTGACTCGCAGTTTTGACAAGTTGACTAACTGGAAGCGTAGCCACCTCCCAAACTCAGAGGCAAGCTAAGTCAGGTGTACTGGGTGCTGTGCACATGAGTGCATTATGTCTCAAGACAGACTTTATGGAACGGTGACACCTCTACAGAATCAAAATACTTCCTCCTGGTTGCCACATAGTTACTGCCCTGGTTAGCAGGCCTGCAAGGCAAATAGCTGCTATGAACAGGCTGAAGATCGGGGCGGCTGCAGTTTTATCAAGTTCCACCAGCCTGGCTTTTTTTCACCTACATGCTCCTTGAGATTGGTCACCAGGAGCACAAATTGCTACCTTGATCACTGGTTTATGCTCAGGATTAATGTGCTGGAAGTTTAACTCTATAATCAACAGGTGGGCCGATTCACTAAACTCCTGGTGGTGGTTCTTGCGGTGAGACTTCTATGGGACCATGGAAGGTCGGGGGTGGTCCTAAAAGCAGCTTGCAGTGAGGCTTATATGGGACCAAGGAAGGTCGGGGGTGGTCCTAAAAGCAGCTTGCAGTGAGGCTTCTATGGGACCAAGGAAGGTCGGGGGTGGTCCTAAAAGCAGCTTGCAGTGAGGCTTCTATGGGACCATGGAAGGTCGGGGGTGGTCCTAAAAAGCAGCTTGCAGTGAGGCTTCTATGGGATTATAGAAGGTCGGGATGCCATAAGAATGGTCAGTTTTCCCATGTGCAATCTGATGAGTGTCCCAACACGCAAAGTTAGCTAAATACAGGTAAATAGCAAAGTGTTACCAGTCCTTAGAGGTGCCCTGACAGAGACAAAAGGTCAGAATGGTCAAAGAGAGGCAGAGGTCAACAGCTAACAAAAATTACAAGCCATGGTCAGGATTGGGAAAGTCAGAATAATCAAGGGACAAGCTAAAATAAAAAGACAACACAAATAGCATGTTCTCTTGTACGAGAGATCACTACAGGGCACAGGGCCCACGGTGACATGGCTCTAGCGTGAGAACGTTAGTGGGAGCAGTCTTTGAAGTGATGCCATGCCTGCGTAATTTGGGGTATAAAGAGAGGCTGGAGGTGGAGCAGTCCACATAAACCTTATCCCAACACAGGAATGAGCAAAGTACCACATATCCCTACATGAGCATTTCTGACCTGATAGAGTTGTTACACAAATTCAAATCCCGTGTTAGCACTAATATAAAGATTTATTCTTGTTTTTATCTTGACACATTATATAAAGCACAATTTCACATGTAAGAGTCACTATTCCAGCTAGATTTGTGTCACCTTCTGGATCACCCCATCTGGTTTAATACCACATTAACTCTCAGACCTCCAAAAACAATAACTGGTGCAATATTCTGTCCTGTTTATTTGGGCAAGCACTGAACGGACGCACAATCTGTGGCATAACGCCTACTGGACGCTCATATTTTGGAATCCCAGCTGTGACAATATCAAGTTACCAAACAAAATAAATAAAAAAAA